ACTGTTTTTTTTATTTAATTTTTTTATTTATTATATGTATATGGAGACATTGTGTATATTTATAGCTATACAAAGAGGTAGACTGTTATTCTAAAGTCAGTGGTCTGTAGTTTTCGAGAATCTTTCTTCGCTAAGACTGATCGGTTTTCTGGACTATGTACCTACGCTGTATAACTAACAAGATCATTGGGCAATGATCTTGTTAGTTATACAAGAATATTAGTTACATTATATCTAACCTCGGGATATAAATAAACGTTCCTATAACGAACAGAAAACTTATTTATTTGCAATTTTTATTAATTTCGTGCAAGTGTAAGATCATTCAATCGGTGGCCAAGTGAGGCACAATGTTAAAATTTTATTTAACGGAGTAAATTAAAAAAAAGCAAGACAGAATTGTCCAAACAAAAAGTTTTGTTCAATAGGTGTGGCAGGTTCGATACGTGATTTGAATTTATTAAAAATATATAAAATCTAATAAGCAGTGGCACTTGAACCTCTTGAGCTGTTTTATAGCCTTGAGGTAAAACTTATTAAATTTCAAAACCTATTTACAATTGACGAAGACATAACGTAGCTCACGAACAGTCTGGTATATAAATAGTTTTCTTTAAAACTCTGATCACTTAAACATAGACGGGACAAACGGCGCTGCCTTCATATCTTCTATACAAAGCTTTAAAGTGAAAATTTATAAAATACTAGCCGTCTGTATAAAGGCTGACAATATTGTGAAACAAGAAGGTTCAAGCGATGTGACAAAGTTTGTCCCCTTTCTCAGTAAAATGTACATAACGAATCATAAATTTGTTCTGAGTACACCTTTACACCGTAACTCATGACATTTATTTGCAGCATTTTCATTACAGACTATTGTATAGTTACCATACTTTTGAAATTGTTTCAAAATGTTATTTAATTAAACTTATTTAAAATCCATTTCAATGAACATAAGTTAATAAATTGTTATTGTCACACTGCGTTGGCCTTTCCGCGAAATTTAATATTTTGTAGTGTTAATAATTTTATGATTCTACCACAGTTTATGAAAAGCGATATGATATAATTTCGAAATAATTGTATTAAATAATTTGTTATTAATGTTGTCACAATAGGGTGAACGTTCTCTCTGGACAATGTCGGTGGGAATGGCTCACTACGAGGGGGGTAAGTCACGATTAACGTTTGGGAAGAAAAACATACAGAGGGACGCAGATAGGGGAACACCCGCTCTTCGTTTAAGATTTTGCTTGTGGGATAATAATAAGCATGTATAACGGAAAGAATAAGCAGAGTAGTTCTTTATTTTTTTGGTTTTAAAAAAACATCATTGAACATTTTAGATGAATAGTAAATACAATATTTTCTTAAATTTACATTCACTAAAAACGAGGCTAAAAAGAAATTTTATGACAAATACATAATTCCAGTGCACGAACGAATAAGAATTAGCGCCGCTTTTTCCCTAAAAATAAAAAAAAAGTATACACCTATTTTTTTATTCATGGCCACACACTTTACAACCAATCAGCATAATCATAGCAGCATCAACATAATTTAACACGGAATAAGACGATGTTCATAAGCTAAAGCAAGCGTATTAACGTTACATGTTACATTTTAACGCAGTATGTTTAGTGCATATGGAATGGCCAATAATATCTCCATTTACTTAGAAACCTGAACCTATTTTTTTTTTCTGTACGGAAATCCTATCTGATACCTACAACTGGTGGAGAAACCTGATCCTGAATATGATTTCTAAGATGTATACTGGCATGGCGCGCCCACAAGTCAGCATTAAGCTATATTGTGAAAACAACAAATTAATATGTTCTAAGACAATATTAACATACAGCAATTCGAACTGCAATGCATTATATATTCCGGTAATGACAACCGTTGGATTTCCACCTCGGCAATGATAGAAATATATTCATTTAAATTTATATCGAAAGAATAGACATGTATGGATAAAAATAAGGTCTCTTAATACATTTAAAACATCAACTTTCCGTGTAAAGGAACGTAGCGCCAGTGACAGGTCTCACAAGGCTGTCGAACAAAAAGTTGTATCGACGAAGTAGATTACCAACCTAAGACGACGGTAGAAGCACAGAGTCATTAGAAGCCACCTTGTGAATATAGTAGTGTTGTACTTTTCTGGCTAATAATAGGTAACCGCCAAAACATTGAAAAGTGGTATCCGTACAGTATAGCTTTTGTATTCCTCTTGTCACACACAGCACAAGCCCCCTTTTTTTTCTGTGCGGAACTCCCCTTTGGATACCACTCACCAACCCACCAATCACCAGGTGATTATGTTGGACTCGAACCGACCAAAAACCGCACGCCGTCTCCACTAGCCGGGGATCCAGGTATACCCTAGAAAAGAAAGCCCTGGTACCCCAACGTACCTCGGGCCATCTACCGCTTATAGATTATTAGTAAAATCGTTTTACAATATATTTTTACAATAAGTGATTACTAAATAAATCTGATCTAAAATAGTTACATATGTTTGTCATAAGCAGAAAAAAAATCGGCGAAATTAAGACCTCCTTTTTAAAGGTTTTTTAAGTAATTACAAGTACATTTTAAAGTACAATAAAACTGAAATTTTGTAGCTACATACGTACGTATAGAGACACACTATATATTCTAAAACACCGATAAAGATGCTTACGATATATATTTTCTTTTGTAAATACGTAAATATATATTATAAACATATGTATCTTAGTAGATAGGCACTAATATACATATCTACTAATACCTAAAAGACATAATGCAATAATTATACGAAAATATTAATAAAGACGATTACTTAATAACAACACATAAAACCACAACTAAACACCACACCTAATTGAATGATTGTTCCTACTATTCATCAGAGAAAAGTTGCATGATCTTTGCGAGAGAAAAGGGTCCGCAACAGCTGATTGACCTCTTATGCTAACTGTTATCTAATAACCGCTTACAGCGTACTTGTGCAACCTACAAAGCTGCATTGAGCATCTAAAGTCCTATAAATACATAAGTACTTTTCTTTCAACACTTGTTACCTTACCCCAAGTACAGAAACAACTTCATCTTTGATCCTGTCCAAATATAACATACAAAACAAAGTCTATCACTATTTGATTTAACGACATTAGATATATTGTTTATTAATTACAGACTCCAAGAAGTATCGAGCATCATGAGTTTTATAGATTTTACATTTGACTTGACCATATTAAAAATCCCAGTGGTGACGATGACCATGGCGGTGACGACCAACAGCTTAAATATTGTGATAGTATCAAACTTATATTAATACTAGCTGAGCCGGCAAACGTTGTTTTGCCATATACATTATTTCTAGGAAACATTGCAAAAAAATATTTAGGGGTGGGTCACCCTTGTCATTTAGGGGTATGAAAAATAGATGTTGGCCGATTCTCAGACCTACCCGATGTGCTTACAAAATTTCATAAAAATCGGTCCAGCCGTTTCGGAGGAGTATGGTAACTAACATTATGACACGAGAATTTTATATATAAGATAAAATGGGCTCTTGAGAAAAGTTTCGACTCAACCTTAGTACCTACGTATTAAGATTTATGATTTTTAAAATAAACAATCACATTCGTCTTTTTTACCTTTACAATGTTTCTCTAATGATATCTCCGAATCTACCAAAGCCTTTTTCAACTTACAATATTAAAGCGGTTCATTGATTTATGGGGAAAATATTCCATTTCTTTTTTAAGCAAATCACGAAGAGATTGCCTAACTTTACTCTTAAAATGCGAACAAAACTCCTCGACATGAAAAACCTTTTATTTATTAACACAGTTCATCATTCGGTACAGTTCATTCTGTATAAATAAAACTTCTTACAAACAGCTCTAATTTTAAAAGCAAATAAATCCACTTATACAAAAAATAAATTATTACGTTATGAAAGTATCTATTACCTACCTAATATAAAATAGTAACAGGTAAGAAAAGGATTAGAGGTTTGGAACGTTCACATGTTGATACCCAAAATTTCGATTTCCAAAAATTAGTAGGTAATAGAAAGGCGCGTGTACCGATCGCTGAGCGCTCTCATCTCAGGCTCCCGAACCCGACCAAATGTCGTCATCAACATTTACTCCGGCCCCTCCCACCCCGCTTCCTTCCCACCTTCGGAGCATGCGCCCATAATACCTACCATAGGGTAATCAAATTGTGATAATATGCTACTTCTTTTTATCTATTTTAACTATCTTTCTTAATTATAATTTTAGAACAACCATTAAAAAGTGTTTTTAAGACTTGCATTTTAAGACTGCATCATTCACCTGCACCTTCTTAAAAAAGCTTTTTGATAACTATATTATTCACACTAATTGCAACAGCGTTACTTATTGTTTCAATTTAATAAGTTGTATTGAGTTACAATCTTGTGTCTTCCATGGAATAAAAATACGTAACTAAGTATTTTGCCGCCAGCCTGTGTGAGGGGGACGCATGCGCCAATTCAAAACGACCCGCAGTAAAACGACGGGTCACGTGACTCGACGCGGCATTCGCTCGTCGCTCTTCGGCAGTTGTCGGCGAATCTGCCCTGCGTGCGGGTGTGTCCTTACGCGTCGTGACGAAACTATCACATAAATGTCAAATGAAATGATTTCGAAAAAATGCAGTGACATGTGCTTTGTTATAACCTAAACATTCGTCGTAACATTTACTTTTTAATTTTCGAAAGTGCTAATGAATATACTAGTCGTTTTTAGTCTCTAATTTTGTGTAACAAAATTTATTACCCCGGCTCTATTCGTGATTGTGTTTTCGCTAGCTGCTAAAACATTCTGGCAGTTCGACTTAGCTTTTTTCACATATGACTGTATTTATTAGGAACTATTTAGTATACATGTGTTTTTCGTGCTGATAAGAAAAAAAAATTGTTGCCGATGTGATAAATGATGGACCGCGTAAGTGGCGTGTGTAGATTCGGAGGAGTGATGTCGGCAGTAAGAACCAGAACAGGTCGTAGTAAACGACGCCTGACGGGTCAGAATCAGATACCCGAGGATGTGCCCGAACCACCGCGTCGTGGTCTAGGTGCTATCTTGGTTCTTGTCTGCATTCTCGTCTATCACAATTGCTTATACTGCGGTTTTGTCTTTGACGATATAAGTGCCATAAAAGAAAACAGAGACTTGAGGCCACAGACGCCGATTTCTAATATATTCCTGAACGACTTTTGGGGAACTCCTATACACAAGGTGAGAGAATTTCACCCGTAGACGCACTTTGCTTATTAAAGTTTGTTTATTTTTTTAGAAAATGATAAGTGACAAAGAAACGAGAAATTTAGCTGTATCCTGTTGTTTTTCATCGTGTAGAGTCTCATTAGAAAGTTTTTAAATAATATTTACAGGCACGCTCCCTGCTTTATCCAAACAGTTTTATTTCATTGTATTTGTACTCAATAAACCTTCGTACGTAATACTAATCTTAACAGATTGATATTGTAATTATGTAGGTCCCTAATTACGCGTTCTCGTCTACGGAACTTGTCGGACTCGTTAATTCATCGACAAGAGCCTGCTTTCAAAAGGTCGATTTTGTATGTACGAGTAATCGCTTCCTTGATCTATCACCCCATGTATGTAGCTGACCAAATAATGTTAAACAGTGGGCTTTTATAATATGTCCACAAGACATAGCTTTAGAGAAAAAATAATAATTATATCAGCATTTTAATACCTTATAGTAACATATGCATTTAAATACATTAATCATATACATTTATGTACATCTGATTTAAATCTGTCTTCAATTGCAATGTTTTGGTGTGCTACCGGAACTGAAGTGTAATTTCACTGGCAACCTCTAAAACAGGGTTGTCCAACAAACAAACGCAATTTTGTAGACCGCTGTTTTTCATTCAGTAACGACCAATATACCAATCATACACAAGAGTTGTTGTTGATGGTCTAGTTGTTAGCAATCTGGACTGCTAAGCAAATAAGTCGTGGATTCTACTCCTACCTATGATCAAATAGGTATTTTGTGATGAGCACGATTATTTGTTCTATCTAGGTGTAATTGATCTATAATATGCATGTATTTAGAAATAAGTATGGTTATTTAAAAATATACCTGCCCCGTTAATTTTAATACGCTTGCCTCTATTTTCGTAAGTGGGACCAAAACTACAGTCGGTAAAATGATTCAGGTCTGTCTATCGCTTCGGGGTGAAGACATCATCGTTAAAAAATTAAATCTTTAAAAACCAACACCTCTTACTAAATACTTATTTTTTTAAAATATTAACATTGTTTCTGGTTTTCATTTATGAGATATAAGACTAATATGTTAGTAAACCATTTAGCGAGCATACACTTTAGAACTGATGTGTTATAAATTCCACTTAGTGTTAGTCAAGAAATTATTGTAGAAGCGTTATAAAATGTATAACTGTAAAATGAAACATTTTAGTATCGCGCAGATGATCTCGTTATTTTATCCGACCCGTGTCATTTATCTCAACCAATGTATTTGCACGAATGTGCAAATATAATTGGTGGACGTGAAATACAGCGACACATTTACTTCTCTACGAATGGGATAAATCAACCATTTACGGGCAGGTAACGTGGAAATTTATGGATGTAATCATCGTGAATGTATCAACCTAATATAAAATGTCCAATCTCAATACGCTGTTTCAACTGTGAAATCATGTTTAATTCATTTCATCAATTTAGTTTAGCAGCAATCTGGCATGAGTTATTTCGCAAAACTGATTTTCACATTAGAAATGTAGGTATATCTTTCTAACTGAGGACTTATTTTGAACTTTAACAGTATTCTACGAATGTGTTATTTTGTTATATTGTTAAATCTCCTGGTGTTTGTGAGAACAATACAGACGTGGTTCGGCTGGGGTATTGTAAACGGAAAATGTAATCAAAGTAAACGCTCCTTCTTCAGACTGAATATATTTTGTGTAAAGCGTCGAATGGAATGTCAGGGGAAAGGGACGATGAGTGCACAAATGACTGAGAGCTTAGTACAACAAGGTGTGTGGTTTGTAAATAAAGATACGAAATCGTAAAGTACGTTCATCTTTTTTGTCACAACGAAGATAGCATGTGTAATGTATTGACAAGGATATAAATAGGACAGACTTTTGTTGAACGAGGTGAAAACTATGCACAGAAACAAACGACAATCGTTTTTGAATTAATTTTTTTATTAACTTAAAATAAATACCTACTGCTTTGAAAATTAGTTACACTTCTCACTGGTTTTGACTGATTCCACTATTATAATTAACATGCCAATCTTCGTCTACCAACTCTCTCCGTCCCCTATCTGTGTGTCGCTTTCCATTCAAAGCAATTTAACTTAAACTTTGACGTTATAATAATGATTTTGACAACATGTTTATGTTAATCCAGGATGCAAACATCTCTATGCCAAATAACATACAAATCCGTTCTGCGTACGCATATAAGTAATAATCGTATAACAATTGTATATGTTTTCACACAAGCAAACATACACTTGCATAAACTTTTATGTTTAAACTAAAGGATTAAGTTTAATTAATTAATGACACAAAGTATGTTATAAGTCTGTTTACTAGCAGTCTGGTCCTCAATTCTGCTATTTATGTTCACGCCGAGCCACTGTCACACCACTGACACGCTATTGAGAAAAACGTAATTTATTTTCAAATTATAAGGAAATGATTTAATTAGTTTTCCAAATATGTCAATCTTTTTGATATGACCACTGATGAGCCACTGCTATTCCATCGCCACTGTAAAGACACTGAGTTAGTGTAGACTACCGATATTTATACCGATGCCAATGGCCACACGATGGCATCTCAATAGCCTGTCAGTGGTATGACACTGGCTTGGCGTGAACATAAAATAGCAGAATTGAGGCCCTGGTTACGACAGTACAGGCTCTTTTATACTAAGTGCAGCGAAGATGCTGGCAAAAGTTAGTCGGTCAGTATACATATAGTCTAAAACAAGACAAGTAGAAATGAGTATACATTTGTTCATTCAACTCAAAATAAATTTAAATAAGAGACCGGTTCAAGAGGTGAATGAAGCGGCATCGTGATACAGCTTTCAAGGGCAAGATTAAAGAGTATTTAGAGAATAAAATTTATGTTCCACTTTATTATGTTAATCTAGCTGCAGTCAAAAAATATATAAAACAACATTCACATTTCAATTAAGTATTGATCGCTCCGAGGTGTAAGTGGCACTTTATTTTTTTAAATGACTGTTAACACCGATGCTCCGGAGAAATAAAATAATTTCAATAGTTAGTAAAAAGGAAAAAGATATTGACATGTAAGCAAGGAGATTGTTTTGTAGTGACCTGTATACACGTTTGTTTATATATTATTCATTGAAGAATCGAGTTCTGGAGTACAGAATTTCAAATTTTATTATCATCTCAAACATTTTATCAAATTAGAATCTAAGGTTCATCGTTTTAAAATTAAAATTCGAATGCTTCTATTCGACTGTCCCAACTTCCAATAACGCTATGTTATAGATATCTTCGTAAAAAACCATGCAAACCTGACAGACTGGATGTTTTTTTAAATACAACTTTCGCACTACCAATATATGCTATGTCGCGGGGAACTTTACAAACATACATGAAACCGACACAAAGAACGCCCAGATTTAGAACAGCAATTTGTAGATCATACACAGTGTTATCCCATCTGGGAATCGAACCCACAACACTCAGCGCAGTAGAAAGCGGCGAGTTGACCCTTAAACTTAAACCGACCGTATAGTCAGTGTTTGTATTTCACGAACACGTTCTTGGTAAACATTGTATCTTTTGGGAATGCTATCTCTTAATTTTGAATAATCCATTCGACAAAGGATGGAAAATTATGAATCCGTAAAAATATAATTGAAAATAAGGCTTAAATTTATTATTACTATAGGAAAATATTTTTGAATTACAAAAGAGATGGGTATAAAATTATTTTTTAGAATAAAATATTATAAAGAGTTCGTAATGTGAATGGTATTTTTTTTCTATCTACGTATTAAAATATTTAAATCATAATTTTGCTAGCCTTGGTAACAATTCTGTTAATTAATGTAATTTTTTACTATTTGTTTGTGGGACGAAAATATACAAAAATTTGAAAACAAAGCAATAAACTTACATTTATAACCGTGTAAGAGCTCTAAGTGGAAAATCTAACTAATATGTACAAATGAAAAAAATACATACATTAAACATTTTAAATGCTTTACATTAAAATAATAAAGAAAATAATCAATAGTTTCAATACTTAAATGTTTATAGTAAAAAAAATAAGCCTCGTTTTTAAGTGTTTACTGAACAAACTAAAATTAGTATAAATGTATAAAAAGTAAAAATATTTAAACGGCTCTTATATTCTATCAAAAAACAGGGTGTTTGTCCGTCTAAGTATCCTATTGTTTATCTCTGCTATAATTCTTCCTCTCGATATTCGCTAAAAATTTAAGAAAAGGTAATGGAAGAAACATTATTGCCTAAGATTGTGTTCAGAAAGAAAAATCATTCACTTTAAGTAATGAATAACATAATGACGTTTATTAGTAAGTCATAAGTGATTAACAAAATCTTTTGATCTCATGAAATTCAGAACATAATTACCTTTTAAAAAATATCACCGAATTTATTGCGCCTACGTCATGATGAATCGTAACGAACTTTATTCTTCACTCCTTAATTTTCCATCCTTATGGGAGGTAATATTTCTTCAAATTTGAATGAGATCAAACAGAAAGTATACCTTTCCAAATAAAAAAAGCATTTCTCAAATCGGTTCATTACGGATGTTCGGAGTACTAAAAATAAGAAAGAAAATACAGCCAAGTTGGGAGACTGCTTCTTTTTTTTAACGCCAGTTGAAACAAAAAGCGATTTGTAGTATATGTATTTTTAATTATTAAATTCGATGTCAACATTTCATGCAGTGCTATATTTGTCGATAGTAAAGGCTTTTTTTTTAACAATCGACTAAACACAATGAATGGGGCCATTAGTATTTAAATAAGAGATCAACGCCGTTTTAAATGTCAGCTTAACTCACCCCCTGAGTTACGTCATTTCTGTAATGCAAATAAGCTGTCAGAAGATACATAATCGCGTATGTAGAATTCATGAACGGAAAAAGGGACAATACGAACAAAATAAGCTATTATTATTTTACGCAATCATTCCCATCTTTTGTTAAAAAGCTTTTCCTGTAAGT